TTTCCAAGCACTCATTTTAAAGTCTGCTGAGTAAATTTACTTCTCTTTTTTGCTTTGAATCGTTTACCTGTTGTTTTTAACTTGTCAAATAAAAAAGTAAGGTTATATCATAACCTTAAAATACAATCTGTCAAAAAATATCATTTTTAAATGATCATGGAATGAAAGGTTAGGGAAATTATTATTTCTTTTTTTTTTGTTTTGGTTTCTTTTGAAGAAAGAATGGTAATCATTAATAATAATAATTTATTTTGATCTCAAGTTGATAGCGCACCTAAAAAAAAAAAGGTTTCGTGTATGAAGGCACAAAAAAAAATTTTTTTTTAAGAAAAGAAAAATTAACAGTAATAAAAAAAAACATTTGAGAAAACGTAAGGTGCATATTAAAAACATTTAAAATATATTTTTTGATAAAATTTTTGACATATTTTTTAAATTCATATTTTTGTAATATTTTCTTGTCTTCTCTTAAAAGTGTTTAGTTTTTATGAAGTGGAAGTTCGAGAATCGAATTAAAAATATTGTGTTTAATACGATCGTTTATGAGGAAGTGTGGGCATTATCAATAAAATTTTTTTTAAAATAAATATTTAAATATAAAATGAATTTATTAAAATTGCTTTTAAATTATATTGACTATATAAAATTAATATTAATAAAAATTTATTTTAAAACATTTTAAAAATATACATACAAAATTGCAGTTTTGTGAATGTTTTCCATTTATTCATAGATTTCACATTCTTAACTTGTGATATTCATTGAAAATTTAGTCATGCGTTGGTAATTTTTTAAATTCTGTCATATACTTTTCATAATTTTCTATCTGCTAATAAAAAATTTTTAAAAAATCTAATGACAATTTTAATATATTTGATGATTTATGAAGTGAGATTTGCCAAGAAAATTTATAAGTATTTTTCATTATTGTCACAACTCTATTTAAAATTTGAATTATTTATTTATTAACTTTTAAAAACAATGTTGCCGGGGTGCATATTTAATTCGGGATTTTGTGAATTTTTGCTATTAATCTTGAAATCAAATAATTTAAGTTAATTTTAGAGTACACTCAGAATAGAGAAACAAAACACAATCGAAATCCAAATTATTTTTTAAAATAATAGCAATACTTGAATATTTTAAATAAACAAGCTAATTAATTCTTTGCAACAATATGATCAATAAAATTATTTAAAATCAAGAGAAATTTTTATTTTTAAAATAACAGTATAATTTTCGCTGAGTGTATAAATCTTAATTATATATAGTTTATATTATAATCAAATCCGATTATTTATTTTATTTTCAATATAATTTTGAATTAATTTTTTAATTTTCTGTGTGTCGTATCCAATTGGATACTACACACAGCATACTAAATTAAAAATTATACGATAAAATATAATTTTTTGATAAAATTTCTAAATACAAGGTGACTCAGTAATCAGTGACATAACATATTTTATCATTTAGGACACCATGAGTAAAATTTTTGTTTTACCATGATTGTAATGAATTTTAATAACACCATGATTGTAATGAATTTTCACGAAATTTTAACTTGGCCAAGTTTTTTTTTTGCTTACAATTTTCCTTTTGAAGAGCATAGAAACTTAAAAAACAGTTTTTGAAAGAGCGAGTAAGGTAGGGCTTGAGAACATTACTTGATTTTGAATAACAAGTATTCGAACTTAAAAAAAATCAAAATTTTCCGTTTTTTTATTTTTTCAGTTTTCTCCAACCCCATTACTTTGTACGAAATTTTTTAAATCTTTGAATTGTTTTTTTAAAATAATAATTTTGAGCAACACTTGCGCTTATTAATATTAATGGAATTAATCCTCTTAAATCATAAATAAAAACGTTTTAATTTTATTTTTTTCTATATTTTGATTATAAAAAATTTTTTAAATTTATATATTTTATTATAATTGAATATCCAAAAAAAATTTCAATAGTTTTTATATTGAAACTATTAAAAAATCTTCACATTACTTAAAAAAATTTTCAAAATAGCCAAACCATTCAAATCAAACACAATAATTTCATTCATTCCAATTGAATAAGTTCTTTATTTTTTTTTTTTAAATGTTAATAATCATTTAACTTTTAAGGAAAGATTTTTATGATTTATCTATCTATAACATTTCAATAGAATTTCTAATAAAAAATTTGAAAATGATATTAAAAATTTAAGAAAAAAAAAAAAAAACAAAATGAATTTTAATAACCAAAAAATCAAATATGTATTTTTTAAAACACAAGGAAAAAAAAGCATTTAGAAGATGAAAACAAGAAAAAATGGTGTTGTTAAGTCCAAAAACCACAAAGATTAATTTTTATTATTTAATAAAAAATTCATAATTTCTTTACCAATTGTTAATTTTTTTATTTCCAAATATATTATTATATGTATTTCTATTATACATAACATACATATATTTTAAAATTTTAATTTAAAACAGAGTCGCATCTAGGCACTCTTTAAAGTACGTAGAGGAAATGAAGAAAACCATATGCTTCGGTTTTAGACTATATTTTATTTAAATATGAGATAAACTAAAAGTAACACCCGAGACCCTAAATTTTTAGAACTCGACGTATTAGAAACTATAGATTTAAACACTTATTTTGAAAATATTTTATGAAGGATAATGTCGTTTTCTTAAATTAAATTTCAGTAGCTTGAGTTTATAAATAAGAGCCCCTTTCCAAAATCAATTCAATATGGATTAGATTGCCACTATTGACCTCGGTATTAATTTAAATGTAGCATTTAATAACAAACAAAACCTTTAATAACCTTTCATAAAAAAATTAAAACGAAGATTCGTTTTTAGCAAAATATTTTTCGTGTTTAATAGCTGAAACTGACTTACAAAATTAAAAGTATTGAATTGACCTAAACAATAATTATTTATTTTTTGCAAACAATTTTAGTGTAAACACTATTAATTCACTTAATTGTTGTCAACACTAACACTTTTGTAATTGCCATATATGACAATATTATTTTGCAAAGTAAGTAAAATTTTTTCAATATTTGCATTAATTTCAAATACTTATCGGTTTATATAGACTATGAGTCATCAGTAAGTTAATTAGTCAATTATTGTAAACATCACTGGTTAAATTATTGTAATACTTACTGTTCAAATACTATTTTGATTCAAGACGATTATAGCTCTTAATGAAAAGTGTGAATAATTACTGAATTTAAATTTAGAAACATGAAAACTGATTATAATTTTTACAACATTAGTTAAAATCAAAAATGTATAAGTCCGGCTATGATGCACAATTCAGTTCGAATAATATTCAGAATGGTACGTCAAAACGGCATTAAGAATATTTTTTATCTGACCATTACTGGAGCCTTAATTATTAATATTGTGTTTATTAGTAATAATAATTTAAATTGGGAATAAGCAAAATTGTGTTGCTTTAAGATACTACTCTGTATTTAAATTTCAATAAGACTTTCCGATAATCTTAATATTAATAATTTTTTTTTTGACAGCTTATTTTCATAATGAATTTAAGATTTTTATAGAAGCTGAAAATTAAAAATATTTCATGTTCTCTTTTTTTTTTTTATTATTTCCTATATAAAATTTTTTTTTTCTCTATGTGTTCTTAAATTTTACGACTTTATTTTATATTTATAATATTTAAATATTTTTATTACCATTTTATAATAGAGTAACTTAAATGAATGGTTTTTTTGGTTTCAAATTTTTTTGATTTTGTTCAAAAATTCCAAATTTTGAAGAATACCTACAAAAATAATAAAAAAAAAAATTATTGCTACTAAAAAATAGCTAATTTTTTTTTTCAAAATTTAATATCCAAATTTTACAAGTTCCTTATAACAAAATATATTGTATAGAATTTATAAAAGGCACTTTATTAAATTTTTTACTCAGTTATAAGTATTAGAGTAGATTCGAATTTATTACAAATATATGAATATCAAAATAAAAATAAAAAATTAATAAAGTCATATAAAATTAAAAAGAAACTATTTCTGTTGTTGTTTAAATCAAAATTTTTATTACTTTGCTATGAATTGCATTAAATAAACTCTGACAACTTAAATTAATTTGAATAAAATCTTTATTACTAACTAAACTATTAAAATATTTTGCATTACAATAATATGAGCAGTAAATTTAAATATATTTAATGTAAAGTATAAATTAAATAGTAAAGTGACAATGAATTAAGTTAATTTTCATTCATACTGACAGAGATTATTGTGAGCTAAGCAGATTATACGAAATTTAATTTTCCTATACATTCGTTCAGTTGAAATATTTTACATCAAAAATTCAAACAAGCTACTATTAGCTCAACAACAACTATAGTACGAAGAGTTCTAATAATACAGCTCCGACTCAAAGGAAAGTTAAAAATTTTAATTCTATATTGAACCGAGAACAAGAGTAAATTGAGGCTTTTAATTGATTATACCCAACGGAAAAAATACCCAAATTTAAATCCCCGCTTCTTAATTAATTTAGCATTTTACATACACTTTTAATAGATACTGGGAAAAGTTAAGTGTTTTCATTGTATATGTGAGCATGTATTTGATATTGTATACATAGGTACGACAATAATTTGGAAATATGACGATTGATGGTGAGAACTTCATAAAGAACACTTATAATTACAGTTACGAAATTTTGAGTTAAGAATTTTTTATTGATTTATGTCTAAATTTTAACTTGCTCATTAGATTTAGTAAAATTTATTAAAATTCAACTTTATAATTGAATTATACTTTAAGTAATTACGAGTATTACTTATAATAAGAAGGAATTGAATAACTTTTACAATGTTATCAATAATTATCATTTTAAGTACAGAGTGAAGTATTCGATTTATTTTCATAAATCTATTATCAATAAATTTTATAATTTAAATTTATTTTCCAAATATATACAAATATAATGCAATATATACTTATAATTTTTGTATTTTTTTTCTTTTCAGATTAATACAAAAAAAATTGCAATAAAAAAACAAGACCGATTTATTAAAAACCAATAATTTTTTCAACATTTCATTGCGGGGCTTAAATCAGCTTAAAAATAACAAAGTAATCAACTTATAAATTAATTAATATTAAAAGGTAAGCTTAATATACTTACTTGTTGTACTTATTTTACTTGTTCACCTTTCACTTCAATTAAATACTAATTTTATTAGCAAATTTTGGATTATTTGAAAAGTTAAAAAAGAATTGGGCATATTATAAATTTTTTTTCTCTGATTTTTTTTTTGCTATCTACATTAAAAAAAATACCATAAAATCTAATCAAAAAATAAATATATTTTGGAAAGAAAACAAAAGCAAAATTTACATTATTGCGTAACTTTCTCGATAGAATCTATTTTATTCATTTATTGTATTAAAAATCAAACATGACACTGAAATTGCAGCAGAACTGTTGTTGTTATACAGAATTCAATTTATAGTATACTTACGATTGGTTTATTAGATTTTAATAAATTGAACATTGTTAGAATATGAAAAAATATTTAAGAATAAAAACTTGCAATTTTTAATCTAAAACTTTGCATTGTATGCCGCTAAATATATTAACTATAGAATATAGATAATTACAATTCTCATGTACAACCATCGCGTTAAAATTTTGTTTAAAGTTTTGGTATTTTAACATTTTTTTAATCTAATTTGTGCTTTGATATTTAATAATATTAAATTAAGACAAAAATTAACCATTAATATTTTTCGGTTAAATTTATCATATAAAACCTTGCTTACTAATGTAATGTACTCACTACTAATGAGTTTTTTCACAACAAGATCAGATTTATTGAATTAATATGTACATTCATGTAGTTTTAAATTAACTATTTTAAAAAATTTTTGCTTTTGTAGCTATCCAAAATTATTCAACAAAAATATTAATTTTAATTTGAACTAATAAATTTGAACACAAAATCAAAATTCTTTTGGCAACCTGAGCCCATCTTTATTTATATTTTTCTCCTATATCTTATCGGGAGAGTAATAAAAAATTTTATCAGTATTATAATTAAGATAATAATTTAATTAATTACAAGTTATACCCATATAATTTTTTATATAACACAAAATTGATCTAAAAATAGCAGAAGTTTTACTAAAAATAAATTTGTTTTTTTTTTTTATTATAAATTTTAGTTTAATTTAATTGCTTTGTTGAGAAAATATTTTGGTATATTAAAATTCAAATAGCTATACATAACATAAAATAAATTTTAATCTCACAAAATAACATTTTATAGTTAATTTTAAATTTTTAAAATAGAATTTTAATATTTTAGTAATAAAATAGAGATTCTGCGATTTATAAATGGTAGATTTAAAAACAGTATAACTTTTATGAAATTATCATAAAAAAGGCAAAATGGTCACTGTGCACAAAAAAAAATAAACAATAAAATTTAAATTCTATTAATAAAATGATAATTTTTAATTATTTAATGATCTTGAAGTCCTATATGAAAGTTAGATAATCTTCTTATAAAACTGTTATATTAAGATTATTAGTGGATAAACTAAATTGAGTTAATGAACGAAATATTTTACGATTCTCATTAAACAAGTTAAAATACCGCTTCAAATTGTTGGTCAAATCGAAAATGGCTAAAATTGTTGTTTAGAAGTAGGTATCGAATCAAGAATTATAGAACTAGGTTTGAAAGAAAATTTTAAGTCAATGAAAATTTTAAGAAGGAAAGCTGAAGGCAAAATGAATTCTGGAAAGTAAAATATTGGGATAAAACTAAATTTTCGAAAATTTCCTTGTTTATTTGGTTTGATTTGAGTAAAAGCATAGTACAAGCATACTTAATTTTCTACTTAATTTTGAGAACTATCCTGCATAATATATTTTTGTGAGTCTCAGTATTCACAAATACGAGTATGTTCCATAAGAGTTATAATTCCGGAATTTCTTATAATTTCAGGTTTAATTCAATTCATTTCTTTACTCTTTCAATCGTATAAAAGTTTACTATCCTTAACTTAGTTTATTCTTAAAGTGATCTGTCCGAATTAAGATACAAGATATAATTTGTATACAATATACCTAGATTCTGAATACTAGAAATAGTTTTATTTGAATTGATTATTTTTTATAATTAAATATATTATTAATTTAATTTTAAACTTAAAAAAAATAGTATTCTTGTTAAGTTTTAAATAATAAGTGCGTTTTGTATTCTTGATTCAATTAAAATCGCTTATTGTTGTTTTCCAAAATGATAAAAATCAGTTTGAACTAAATTTTTTTTTTATTCGAATATTTTAATAAAAATGAATTGCAACATATTTGATTTATTATGCATGTATTTATTATGTTTGTACAATATGCATATGCCCCTGGACTTAAATTAACCCTACTATTATTATATTATTAAATTTTTATTGTATATGATTCTTCCTATTTACAATCATATTTCATATTTATATAGTATGTTTGTATTGTACACGCGCAGCTATTATGATGCAATTAATAAAAACAATATATAAAAATAATTTTGTTGTAACCCTTTCTCTGAAATTTCTATATGTGTGTGTTCATACACTTACAATATCATAATTTGGAAAGCATATTTTTAATATGTATAACAAAATAATTTCATTTCTCAATATTATTTCAAAATAAATTGCATACACGAGTATTTAAGAATATATGAATTCATTATACTTAAAATGAACTGAGAGTACTTATACTCAATTGATATGGTTGGGTTGATCATTATGATAATGCATGATTGCAATGATAATAAACTGTTATAATAATTTTATTTTTATATTATTGTATAAAATGTTTTTACTTAAATTTTATGTACTCGTACATGATTATTTTAAATTTGATTAAATTATTGGACTTGATATACAATGCACATAGAAGAGGTTTTTTTTATATTTATGGTGATTTGAATGCTGCGGCTTAAAATTGCTTTTCTGTATTGCAATTTTACCCAATCAAAAATTAATAGCTATACAATTCAAGTTTTAATGGGAAATCGATTACAGAAAAAATTTAAACAATTGAATTTAATTTTTTTTTTGTATTGCAATTAATGAAAAAATATTTGCACGGAATACGCCGTTTAATATACAAACTAATAAAATTAGATGTATAAAACAATTTATACGATATACGCAGTTTAGTTTGAGTGCGAAAGCTGCATAAGATTTTTAAGCAAATATAAAAGTTAAGAAAAATACTCTAAAAGTTTGTTTTAAAACATCACACATTTTCGAAAGTATAACAGGAATCTGAAGAACTTTAAATTTTTCATAATAAAAGCATCTATTTAAACTACTCTCAATTAAAATAATTGCCGATCTCATAATTGTTATACGATCGAGTAGTTTGCATAACTACATTTTATTATTATATCAATATCACGGTGATGTTAAAATAACCATAATTGTGTTAATACAATTACAGTTGTACTATTCAAATGACAATATTTCTTACAACCAAGCCTTAAGGTTCTTCGAAATGCTACTCTTTAATTATAAAAAAATATTCACTTTAACGTACCAGCTGCAACTCGTATTATAGTATTACAAGGAATAGAAGATAAATTATGTTATTTTACTGATATGATCATGTTCAATTAGATCCAACATTATTTCCTAAACATTAAATTGGAAAAACAATAACCACATAAGATGTGGTCCTCATCACACATTAACGTAATGATGTTAATACCGGCAATTGAAAGCTAATGGCTTTATATAACATAGCGATTCTTAAAATAACAGTAATAATAATTATAATAATATTAACAATGACAACAGCAATAATAATAATAATTATTAATAATTTAATTACTGTTGGGCTGCAATGAAGTTATTAAATTATTGCTAAAATTGTGCACATTGCACTGCAAAAATTTATAAAAGGAAAATTATGAAACCAAAATACAACTGCATTTTATTATAATTATTACTCTTAGATTATGAGTAAGTAATAATGATTATATTAAAGTAATAATGATAATAATGAACGTTCTCTAGATAGAGAGTAATGATGATGACATTGATGTTAATTTATATAACAAAAATTATACTTTAAAAACTTAAAATAAAAAATTGAAATATACTTGTAATTTCTTTTTTATAATTTTGTTTTTTATGCACAAAATAAAAATATTAAAATAAAACTGGGTTGGACACATGTTACACTTTATTATGTCAATTGCTTTAAGTATATGAAGCAAATTTATACATATATGAATGTATGTACATACTGTATAACATTTATATATAATAAAATATGAATAACGGTCAGGAATATTTTATAATTTTACATTTCAAATTCATCGCTCATAAATGTGTTGAATTTTTTTTTTTTTTTGTATTTTGCATACTAAAATTTCATTTAAATATCATCTTGTCAAGTATAATTTCCATGCATATACAGTTAAAGCAATTTGTTATAAAATACATACTTATATGTACTTATGTATATTTCACTTATAAAATTTATGTTGCGTCTCCATAACTGGACACTGGAAAAAAATATTCTCGAATTTAAAATAAAATTCAAAAAATTAAAATTTAAATTAAAATTGTATAGCAAATAAAAACAATTGAAAACAGCATGTTCAAAAATTTTCTAATTCTCTGCACAAAAAATCCAAAAATAATAAGATTATTGTTTCAGGGACTATTGATTATTGAAGATTATCGTTATTGTAATTTTCTAAAAAACAACAGAAATTTTTTTTTTCAGTGTATAAACATAAGTCTACATTAATATCAGCACAAATTTATTTTCTTTTTTAATTTTATTCTTATGATTTTTCGTAATTTTCAAGTGCAATTGTCGAAATGATAATAAAAAATATAACAAAATAAAGTAAATGAAAGGGTTAAATTGTAAAAAAATTTTTACATTTATGACAGTGAGCCTACATTTTAAGCGATTTTTCAAATTTTGTATGTAATTTTATGAAAATTTTTTTTTATTCCTACTTCGCTCCTTGGAGGAGCATAGGACTGGTGTACGATGTTATAGAGAACCATGAAAACCAGTTTCTTACGTCATAGAGTTTACTAGGTAGGTGACGAGCCTACCGTAGTTTTTTTTATATTAA